TCCAGTCTAGTCTGTTCCAACTCACCCTAACATCTCTACACAGCTCTATAGTCTCCCGACATGGTACCAGTCTAGTCTGTTCCAACTCACCCTAAACATCTCTACACAGCTCTATAGTCTCCCATGTCAGCTCCACCTCACCCTAACATCTCTACACAGCTCTATAGTCTCCCATTTCAGCGCCATCGGTCTGTTCCACCTCACCCTAACATCTCTACACAGCTCTATTGTCTCCCGACATGGTACCAGTCTAGTCTGTTCCACCTCACCCTAAACATCTCTACACAGCTCTTTAGTCTCCCATGTCAGCTCCACCTCACCCTAACATCTCTACACAGCTCTATAGTCTCCCATGTCAGCGCCATCGGTCTGTTCCACCTCACCCTAACATCTCTACACAGCTCTATAGTCTCCCGACATGGTACCAGTCTAGTCTGTTCCACCTCACCCTAACATCTCTACACAGCTCTATAGTCTCCCATGTCAGCTCCACCTCACCCTAACATCTCTACACAGCTCTATAGTCTCCCATGTCAGCGCCATCGGTCTGTTCCACCTCACCCTAAACATCTCTACACAGCTCTATAGTCTCCCATGTCAGCGCCATCGGTCTGTTCCACCTCACCCTAAACATCTCTACACAACTCTATAGTCTCCCGATATGGTACCAGTCTAGTCTGTTCCACCTCACCCTAAACATCTCTACACAGCTCTATAGTCTACCGACATGGTACCAGTCTAGTCTGTTCCACCTCACCCTAAACATCTCTACACAGCTCTATAGTCTCCCATGTCAGCGCCATCGGTCTGTTCCACCTCACCCTAAACATCTCTACACAACTCTATAGTCTCCCGACATGGTACCAGTCTAGTCTGTTCCAACTCACCCTAACATCTCTACACAGCTCTATAGTCTCCCATGTCAGCGCCATCGGTCTGTTCCACCTCACCCTAAACATCTCTACACAACTCTATAGTCTCCCGACATGGTTCCAGTCTAGTCTGTTCCACCTCACCCTAACATCTCTACACAGCTCTATAGTCTCCCGACATGGTACCAGTCTAGTCTGTTCCAACTCACCCTAACATCTCTACACAGCTCTATAGTCTCCCGACATGGTACCAGTCTAGTCTGTTCCAACTCACCCTAACATCTCTACACAGCTCTATAGTCTCCCATGTCAGCTCCACCTCACCCTAACATCTCTACACAGCTCTATAGTCTCCCATGTCAGCGCCATCGGTCTGTTCCACCTCACCCTAACATCTCTACACAGCTCTATAGTCTCCCGACATGGTACCAGTCTAGTCTGTTCCACCTCACCCTAACATCTCTACACAGCTCTATAGTCTCCCATGTCAGCGCCATCGGTCTGTTCCACCTCACCCTAAACATCTCTACACAGCTCTATAGTCTCCCGACATGGTTCCAGTCTAGTCTGTTCCACCTCACCCTAACATCTCTACACAGCTCTATAGTCTCCCATGTCAGCGCCATCGGTCTGTTCCACCTCACCCTAACATCTCTACACAGCTCTATAGTCTCCCATGTCAGCTCCATCGGTCTGTTCCACCTCACCCTAAACATCTCTACACAGCTCTATAGTCTCCCGACATGGTACCAGTCTAGTCTGTTCCACCTCACCCTAAACATCTCTACACAGCTCTATAGTCTCCCGACATGGTACCAGTCTAGTCTGTTCCACCTCACCCTAAACATCTCTACACAGCTCTATAGTCTACCGACATGGTACCAGTCTAGTCTGTTCCACCTCACCCTAACATCTCTACACAGCTCTATAGTCTCCCATGTCAGCTCCACCTCACCCTAAACATCTCTACACAGCTCTATAGTCTCCCATGTCAGCGCCATCGGTCTGTTCCACCTCACCCTAAACATCTCTACACAGCTCTATAGTCTCCCATGTCAGCGCCATCGGTCTGTTCCACCTCACCCTAAACATCTCTACACAGCTCTATAGTCTCCCATGTCAGCGCCATCGGTCTGTTCCACCTCACCCTAAACATCTCTACACAGCTCTATAGTCTCCCGACATGGTTCCAGTCTAGTCTGTTCCACCTCACCCTAAACATCTCTACACAACTCTATAGTCTCCCGACATGGTACCAGTCTAGTCTGTTCCAACTCACCCTAACATCTCTACACAGCTCTATAGTCTCCCATGTCAGCGCCATCGGTCTGTTCCACCTCACCCTAAACATCTCTACACAACTCTATAGTCTCCCGACATGGTTCCAGTCTAGTCTGTTCCACCTCACCCTAAACATCTCTACACAGCTCTATAGTCTCCCATGTCAGCGCCATCGGTCTGTTCCACCTCACCCTAAACATCTCTACACAACTCTATAGTCTCCCGACATGGTTCCAGTCTAGTCTGTTCCACCTCACCCTAACATCTCTACACAGCTCTATAGTCTCCCGACATGGTACCAGTCTAGTCTGTTCCACCTCACCCTAACATCTCTACACAGCTCTATAGTCTCCCATGTCAGCTCCACCTCACCCTAAACATCTCTACACAGCTCTATAGTCTCCCGACATGGTTCCAGTCTAGTCTGTTCCAACTCACCCTAACATCTCTACACAGCTCTATAGTCTCCCGACATGGTTCCAGTCTAGTCTGTTCCAACTCACCCTAACATCTCTACACAGCTCTATAGTCTCCCGACATGGTTCCAGTCTAGTCTGTTCCACCTCACCCTAACATCTCTACACAGCTCTATAGTCTCCCATGTCAGCGCCATCGGTCTGTTCCACCTCACCCTAAACATCTCTACACAGCTCTATAGTCTCCCGACATGGTTCCAGTCTAGTCTGTTCCACCTCACCCTAAACATCTCTACACAGCTCTATAGTCTCCCATGTCAGCTCCACCTCACCCTAAACATCTCTACACAGCTCTATAGTCTCCCATGTCAGCGCCATCGGTCTGTTCCACCTCACCCTAACATCTCTACACAGCTCTATAGTCTCCCATGTCAGCTCCACCTCACCCTAACATCTCTACACAGCTCTATAGTCTCCCATGTCAGCTCCATCGGTCTGTTCCACCTCACCCTAAACATCTCTACACAGCTCTATAGTCTCCCGACATGGTTCCAGTCTAGTCTGTTCCAACTCACCCTAAACATCTCTACACAGCTCTATAGTCTCCCATGTCAGCGCCATCGGTCTGTTCCACCTCACCCTAACATCTCTACACAGCTCTATAGTCTCCCATGTCAGCTCCACCTCACCCTAACATCTCTACACAGCTCTATAGTCTCCCATGTCAGCTCCATCGGTCTGTTCCACCTCACCCTAAACATCTCTACACAGCTCTATAGTCTCCCGACATGGTTCCAGTCTAGTCTGTTCCAACTCACCCTAAACATCTCTACACAGCTCTATAGTCTCCCGACATGGTACCAGTCTAGTCTGTTCCACCTCACCCTAAACATCTCTACACAGCTCTATAGTCTCCCGACATGGTACCAGTCTAGTCTGTTCCACCTCACCCTAAACATCTCTACACAACTCTATAGTCTCCCGACATGGTACCAGTCTAGTCTGTTCCACCTCACCCTAAACATCTCTACACAGCTCTATAGTCTCCCATGTCAGCTCCACCTCACCCTAAACATCTCTACACAGCTCTATAGTCTCCCATGTCAGCGCCATCGGTCTGTTCCACCTCACCCTAAACATCTCTACACAGCTCTATAGTCTCCCGACATGGTTCCAGTCTAGTCTGTTCCACCTCACCCTAACATCTCTACACAGCTCTATAGTCTCCCGACATGGTACCAGTCTAGTCTGTTCCAACTCACCCTAACATCTCTACACAGCTCTATAGTCTCCCGACATGGTACCAGTCTAGTCTGTTCCAACTCACCCTAAACATCTCTACACAGCTCTATAGTCTCCCGACATGGTACCAGTCTAGTCTGTTCCACCTCACCCTAAACATCTCTACACAGCTCTATAGTCTCCCGACATGGTACCAGTCTAGTCTGTTCCAACTCACCCTAACATCTCTACACAGCTCTATAGTCTCCCGACATGGTTCCAGTCTAGTCTGTTCCACCTCACCCTAACATCTCTACACAGCTCTATAGTCTCCCGACATGGTTCCAGTCTAGTCTGTTCCACCTCACCCTAAACATCTCTACACAGCTCTATAGTCTCCCATGTCAGCGCCATCGGTCTGTTCCACCTCACCCTAACATCTCTACACAACTCTATAGTCTCCCGACATGGTTCCAGTCTAGTCTGTTCCACCTCACCCTAACATCTCTACACAGCTCTATAGTCTCCCGACATGGTTCCTGTCTAGATACCATTACGACTAGTCTTAAATACCTGTCCCCTATAGACTGATGATAAGACTTGAGTCAGTGTTTCCCAAACCTCTCCTCCAGTACCCCCCCACAGCCCGTCCAGGTATTTGATGTTTTCCACAACTAGCACAGCTGATTAAAATGGTCACCTAATCATCAAGCCCCTCGTTAGATAAGCTAGTTGTGGAATACATCATACATGAGGACTGGCTGGAGGTACTCCAGGAGAGGGTTAGGGGGTACTGGCTGGAGGTACTCCAGGAGAGGGTTAGGGGGTACTGGCTGGAGGTACTCCAGGAGAGGGTTATGGGGTACTGGCTGGAGGTACTCCAGGAGAGGGTTATGGGGTACTGGCTGGAGGTACTCCAGGAGAGGGTTAGGGGGTACTGGCTGGAGGTACTCCAGGAGAGGGTTAGGGGTACTGGCTGGAGGTACTCCAGGAGAGGGTTAGGGGGTACTGGCTGGAGGTACTCCAGGAGAGGGTTAGGGGGTACTGGCTGGAGGTACTCCAGGAGAGGGTTAGGGGGTACTGGCTGGAGGTACTCCAGGAGAGGGTTATGGGGTACTGGCTGGAGGTACTCCAGGAGAGGGTTATGGGGGTACTGGCTGGAGGTACTCCAGGAGAGGTTTGGGATATTGATGTATTGATAGGCTTACCCGTAGAGGTATTCAGCGAAGAGAGCAGCCTCTGGCAGCAGCTGTTCCAGCATCTCTTCCCCTTCATCACCTTTAGCCTTAATGAACTCACACAGAGCTCTCCAGTACAACACCCTCTCACAGGACAGAGACTCAGCCGGGACCAGCATCCTGCAGAGACACACACAGGGTGGACAGGTCAGGGTGTGTGTATGTGTGTGTGTGTGTGTGTGTACAGGTCAGGGTGTGTGTGTGTGTATGTACAGGTCAGTGTGTGTGTGTGAGAGAGCAGGGTGGTCAGTGTGTGTGTGTGTGTGAGAGAGCAGGGGTGGTCAGTGTGTGTGTGGTGTGTGTGTGTGTGTGTGAGAGAGAAGGGTGGTCAGTGTGTGTGTGTGTGTGTGTGTGAGAGAGAGAGCAGGGTGGTCAGTGTGTGTGTGTGTGTGTGAGAGAGAGAGAGCAGGGTGGTCAGTGTGTGTGTGTGTGTGTGTGTAGGAGCAGGGAGGCAGTGGGTTGTGTGAAGCAGGGTGTCGTGTGTGTGTGTGTGAGAGAGAGCAGGGGGTCAGTGTGTGTGTGTGGGTGGAGGAGGGTGGTGGGTAGGGTGTAGTGTGTGTGTTGACTGTGTGTGTGAAGAGCAGGGTGGTCAGGTGTGTGTGTGTGAGAGAGAGCAGGGTGGTCAGTGTGTGTGTGTGTGGGGAGCGTCGGTGTTGTGGAGTGAGAGCAGGTGTAGAGGTGTGTCAGTGGTGTGTGTGTGGTGTGAGAGAGAGCAGGGTGGTCAGTGTGTGTGTGCTGTGTGTGTGTGTGGTGTACAGGTCAGTGTGTTGTGTGGTGTGGAGAGGGGGTGTGTGTGTTGTGTGAGAGGCAGGTGGGTGTGGGTGTGTGTGTGTGTGTGTGTGTGTGTGTGTCCAGGTCAGTGTGTGTGTGTGTGTGTGTGTGTGTGTGTGTGTGTGTGTGTGTGTGTGTGTGTGTACCTGTTGTCCAGCTGAAGACAGTGCTGCAGCAGCTGGTCCTGAGGTGTGTGTGTGTACAGAGCGGTCAGTGTGTGTGTGTGTGTGTGGTGTGTGTGTGTGTGTGTGTGTGTGTGTGTGTGTGTGTACCTGTTGTCCAGACTGAAGACAGTGCTGTAGCAGCTGGTCCTGAGGTGTGTGTGGTGTACAGAGCCGTCAGTGTGTGTGTGTGTGTGTGTGTGTGTGTGTGTCCAGGTCAGTGTGTGTGTGTGTGTGTGTACAGAGCGGTCAGTGTGTGTGTGTGTGTGTACCTGTTGTCCAGCTGAAGACAGTGCTGTAGCGGCTGGTCCTGAGGTGTGTGTGTGTACAGAGCGGTCAGTGTGTGTGTGTGGTGTGTGTGTGTGTGTGTGTGTGTACCTGTTGTCCAGCTGAAGACAGTGCTGTAGCGGCTGGTCCTGAGGTGTGTGTGTGAACAGAGCGGTCAGTGTGTGTGTGTGTGTGTGTGTGTGTGTGTGTGTGTGTGTGTGTACCTGTTGTCCAGCTGAAGACAGTGCTGTAGCGGCTGGTCCTGAGGTGTGTGTGTGAACAGAGCCGTCAGTGTGTGTGTGTGTGTGTGTGTGTGTGTGTACCTGTTGTCCAGCTGAAGACAGTGCTGTAGCGGCTGGTCCTGAGGTGTGTGTGTGAACAGAGCGGTCAGTGTGTGTGTGTGTGTGTGTGTGTGTGTGTCCAGGTCAGTGTGTGTGTGTGTGTGTGTGTGTGTGTGTGTGTGTGTGTGTGTACCTGTTGTCCAGCTGGAGACAGTGCTGTAGCGGCTGGTCCTGAGGTGTGTGTGTGTACAGAGCGGTCAGTGTGTGTGTGTGTGTGTGTGAGTGTGTGTGTGTGTGTGTGTACCTGTTGTCCAGCTGGAGACAGTGCTGTAGCGGCTGGTCCTGAGGTGTGTGTGTGTACAGAGCGGTCAGTGTGTGTGTGTGTGTGTGTGTGTGTGTGTGTGTGTACCTGTTGTCCAGCTGTAGACAGTGCTGTAGCGGCTGGTCCTGAGGTGTGTGTGTGAGCAGAGCGGTCAGTGTGTCCAGGGCCGTCTGAGAACAGTTCTCTACATCCAGTTTGTGTAACAGCTCCAACACATCACCCTGGAGAAGACTGAGCCAGGCTGGGAGGAGACGGACCTGAACCACCTGCCTCACTGGTTCTACACACACACAGTTATACACACACACACAGTTATACACACACACACACACACACACAGTTAGACACACACACACACGTCACCCTGGAGGAGACTGAGCCAGGCTGGGAGGAGACGGACCTGGACCACCTGCCTCACTGATTCTACACACACACAGATACACACACACACACACACACACAGTTACACACACACACACACACACAGTTATAGACACACACGTCACCCTGGAGGAGACTGAGCCAGGCTGGGAGGAGACGGACCTGGACCACCTGCCTCACTGGTTCTACACACACACAGATACACACACACACACACACACACACACAGTTATACACACACACACACACACACACAGTTATACACACACACACACACACACACAGTTATACACACACATCACCCTGGAGAAGACTGAGCCAGGCTGGGAGGAGACGGGCCTGGACCACCTGCCTCACTGGTTCTACACACACACAGTTATACACACACACACAGTTATACACACACACACACACACACACAGTTAGACACACACACACACGTCACCCTGGAGGAGACTGAGCCAGGCTGGGAGGAGACGGACCTGGACCACCTGCCTCACTGATTCTACACACACACAGATACACACACACACACACACACACAGTTACACACACACACACACACACACACACACACAGTTATAGACACACACGTCACCCTGGAGGAGACTGAGCCAGGCTGGGAGGAGACGGACCTGGACCACCTGCCTCACTGGTTCTACACACACACAGATACACACACACACACACACACAGTTATACACACACACACACACACACACAGTTATACACACACACAGTTATACACACACATCACCCTGGAGAAGACTGAGCCAGGCTGGGAGGAGACGGGCCTGGACCACCTGCCTCACTGGTTCTACACACACACAGTTATACACACACACACACACACACACAGTTATACACACACAGTTATACACACACATCACCCTGGAGAAGACTGAGCCAGGCTGGGAGGAGACGGACCTGGACCACCTGCCTCACTGGTTCTACACACACACAGTTACACACACACACACACACACACACACAGTTATACACACACATCACCCTGGAGGAGACTGAGCCAGGCTGGGAGGAGACGGGCCTGGACCACCTGCCTCACTGGTTCTACACACACACAGTTATACACACACACACACACACACACACACACAGTTATACACACACAGTTATACACACACATCACCCTGGAGAAGACTGAGCCAGGCTGGGAGGAGACGGACCTGGACCACCTGCCTCACTGGTTCTACACACACACAGTTACACACACACACACACACACACACACACAGTTCTACACACACACAGTTATACACACACACACACACACACAGTTAGACACACACACAGTTATACACACACACACACACACACAGTTAGACACACACACATCACCCTGGAGAAGACTGAGCCAGGCTGGGAGGAGACGGACCTGGACCACCTGCCTCACTGGTTCTACACACACACAGTTATAGACACACACACACACAGTTATACACACAGTTATACACACACACACACAGAGTTATAGACACACACACACAGTTATAGACACACACAGTTATAGACACACACACAGTTAGACACACAGTTATAGACACACACAGTTATAGACACACACACACACACACAGAGTTATACACACACAGTTAGACACACACACACACACACACAGTTATAGACACACACAGAGTGACAGAGTGACAGAGTGACAGAGTAACAGAGTGACAGAGTAACAGAGTGACAGAGTAACAGAGTGACAGAGTGACAGAGTGACAGAGTAACAGTGTGACAGAGTAACAGTGACAGAGTGACAGAGTAACAGAGTGACAGAGTAACAGAGTGACAGAGTAACAGAGTGACAGAGTAACAGAGTGACAGAGTGACAGAGTGACAGAGTGACATAGTGACAGAGTGACAGAGTGACAGAGTGACAGAGTGACAGAGTGACCGAGTGACAGAGTGACAGAGTAACAGAGTGACAGAGTGACAGAGTGACAGAGTAACAGTGTGACAGAGTAACAGTGACAGAGTAACAGAGTAACAGAGTGACAGAGTGACAGAGTGACAGTGTGACAGAGTGACCGAGTGACCGAGTGACCGAGTGACAGAGTGACCGAGTGACAGAGTGACAGAGTGACAGAGTGACAGAGTGACAGAGTAACAGAGTGACAGAGTAACAGAGTGACAGAGTAACAGAGTGACAGAGTGACAGAGTAACAGTGTGACAGAGTAACAGTGACAGAGTGACAGAGTAACAGAGTGACAGAGTAACAGAGTGACAGAGTAACAGAGTGACAGAGTAACAGAGTGACAGAGTGACAGAGTGACAGAGTGACATAGTGACAGAGTGACAGAGTGACAGAGTGACCGAGTGACAGAGTGACAGAGTAACAGAGTGACAGAGTGACAGAGTGACAGAGTAACAGTGTGACAGAGTAACAGAGTAACAGAGTGACAGAGTGACAGAGTGACAGAGTGACAGAGTGACAGTGTGACAGAGTGACAGAGTGACCGAGTGACAGAGTGACCGAGTGACAGAGTGACCGAGTGACAGAGTGACAGAGTGACAGAGTAACAGAGTGACAGAGTAACAGAGTAACAGAGTGACAGAGTGACCGAGTGACAGAGTGACAGAGTGACAGAGCAGAGTGACAGAGTAACAGAGTGACAGAGTGACAGAGTAACAGAGTGACAGAGTGACAGAGTGACAGAGTGACAGAGTAACAGAGAGTGTGTACCTGCGGCGTCGTGGAGACCCTGCTGCAGCAGATTGACTCTCTGGGCGATACTCAGAGCTCTGATGTGGACCTTGTCTGCCAGAACCTGACACACACACACACAGTCATTAAAAACGTCCTGTTTAAGCTGGGTTAAGGTTTGTAAGGCCAGTTTAGTGTGTGTGTGTGTGTGTGTACCTGGTAAGCCAGTTTGCGGACGCTCTCCTTGACGTCCCTGGTGCGTTTCAGTATCTTGGGGAGGGTGACAGAGGAGGGGGCGATGCAGGACAGAACGGCTCGACGAACCTCCGGATTGGAATCATTCTCCAATATCAACAGATAGGCTGGAGGAGAGGAGAGGAGAGGAGAGGAGAGGAGAGGAGAGGAGAGGAGAGGAGAGGAGAGGAGAGGAGAGGAGAGGAGAGAGAGAGGAGAGGAGAGAGAGGAGAGAGAGGAGAGGAGAGGAGAGGAGAGGAGAGGAGAGGAGAGAGAGTTGTGTTGTGTGTGACCGGGACCTTTAACACCGCTGGTTCTGTGGATCCCGTTTGTCTCGCCATGACCAGAGAGGTCTGGACCCTGACAGTGTGTGGTGGTATCAGTACCTTTAACAGTGGGACAGTGCTGGTTCTGTGGTTCCTGCAGTCTCGCCATGGCCAGAGAGGCCTGGATCCTGACGTTGGGGAACTTGTCTGTGACTCGGACCAGCATGGCCTGGTGGATCCCGTCAAACAGGTCGTCGTCTATCTGGGCGTTTTCCGCCATGCTGCCTAGCAACTTGTTGATCAGCTGACACACGCGGAACCTCACGGCGTGGCTGTTGGCCTTGTGGGACTGGGGGGGGGGGGGAAGAAAGACACTGGGGTTAGAGCAGAGACGTAGCATCAATACCTAGACTACTGTCCCTGTCTCTGTCCACTGATACCATCAGAGTAGTGTTGGAGATGTCCTGATCAGATATACTGTCCCTGTCTCTGTCCACTGATACCATCAGAGTAGTGTTGGAGATGTCCTGATCAGATATACTGTCCCTGTCTCTGGTAAATCTCCTAAATATATCTGGACATCAACCTGACCAGACATCTTTAACCATTATCACGTCACACTGTGTGATGTCACCTAAATCAATCTGGACATCAAACTGGCCAGATTGTACAATTTGCTTCAGTTTCTAGCGATTGGCTTGTGAGGCTACGTCAGCTGACGTAGGCTACATCAACTGCAGCAGTGTGTCTGACCTAAGCATGCGAGGCTACGTCAGCTGACGTAGGCTACGTCAACTGCAGCAGTGTGTCTGACCTAAGCATTCCCAGCACCAACAGCATAAGCATCTCTCTATGCTTTATGCACGAGTTCGGAAAAACTTTAAAAAGTAAGTGTAGTTTTCACATACAAACTATATATGCCCCAACTCAGGATCAAATAGGCTTCCCCAAAATAACATGGTCACTGTGATGCCCCAACTCAGGATCCAATAGGCTTCCCCAAAATAACATGGTCACTGTGATGCCCCAACTCAGGATCCAATAGGCTTCCCCAAAATAACATGGTCACTGTGATGCCCCCAACTCAGGATCCAATAGGCTTCCCCAAAAATAACAATGGTCACTGTGATGCCCCAACTCAGGATCCAATAGGCTTCCCCAAAATAACATGGTCACTGTGATGCCCCAACTCAGGATCCAATAGGCTTCCCCAAAATAACATGGTCACTGTGATGCCCCAACTCAGGATCCAATAGGCTTCCCCAAAATAACATGGTCACTGTGATGCCCCAACTCAGGATCCAATAGGCTTCCCCAAAATAACATGGTCACTGTGATGCCCCAACTCAGGATCCAATAGGCTTCCCCAAAATAACATGGTCACTGTGCTGCCCCAACTCAGGATCCAATAGGCTTCCCCAAAATAACATGGTCACTGTGATGCCCCCAACTCAGGATCCAATAGGCTTCCCCAAAATAACATGGTCACTGTGATGCCCCCAACTCAGGATCCAATAGGCTTCCCCAAAATAACTGGTCACTGTATGCCCAACCAGGACCCAAATAGGCTTCCCCAAAAAAAAATGGCATGTCAGAATTTTGATTGGCGTTTTTGTGCATTTTATCAAAATCCCATCAGGTCCTGATTTCAGAGTTCAAGTTTTGGGGAAACGTTTTTCTTGCACAGCATGTCTTTTTTTTAAATAAACTTTTAAATCGGGACTATTCCCAAATAAAGTGGAAATTAATATTAATTAACTTTAATATTTTCAAAGATACTAGCGGGAAAAACTTTTAGTGGTGTTTCCCATACTGTAAAGATCACCGGTAAATTAAACAACAGTGACCAAAAGGCTCCGGTTCTCCTGTTGTATTCCATACTGTAACTAGATCACCGGGGAAACATGCTGAACAACATGACTCAAAGGCTCGGTCTCTCCTGTTATTCCCTACTGAAACTAATCACAGGTAACATGCTAAACAAAGTGACTCACAAGGCCCCGGTCCTCCTCGTTGTTCATACTGGTAACTAGATCACCAGGCTACATGCTGAACAACAGTGACTCACAAGGCTCCTGGTCTCTCCTCGTTGTATTCCCTACTGTAACTAGATCACCAGGCTAACATGCTGAACAACAGTGACTCACAAGGCTCCGGTCTCTCCTCGTTGTATTCCCTACTGTAAACTAGATACCAGGCTAACAGGCTGAACAACAGTGACTCACAAGGCTCCCGGTCTCTCCTAGTTGTATCCATACTGTAAACTAGATCCACCAGGCTAACATGCTGAACAACAGTGACTCACAAGGCTCCGGTCTCTCCTCGTGTTATTCCATACTGTAACTAGATCACCAGGCTAACATGCTGAACAACAGTGACTCACAAGGCTCCGGTCTCTCCTCGTTGTATTCCATACTGTAACTAGATCACCAGGCTAACATGCTGAACAACAGTGACTCACAAGGCTCCGGTCTCTCCTCGTTGTATTCC